CAATGTTTTTTCACTCACCTCTGGACATAACTGCAGTCACATGCATCCCCAGGGTAACGACTGCATACAATGAATGACTGCATACAATGACGTCAAGTCCACTCCCCTGATCCGACAGGCAGATTGTGTCTTCAACGAAGATGCGCCTAGGATGGGATGGCCGTTGATGACTTTTCACTCTCCGTTGTGAACGTGTAAAATAAAATGAAAGAAAAGAAAAATACAAAACACCACTAATGTGCAGCTGCTGAAACACAGCACAATCTTCTGTGCATCACCACAAAGAAGTCCAGATTCAGAAAAAGACAAAACACCACTAGCGCCCGAATCTGGACATGTTTATGAAGATGTGCAGCTGCTGAAACCCAAACCCAGCACAATATCCTGAAGATGTGCAGCTGCTGGAACCCAGCACAATATCCTGAAGATGTGCAGCTGCTGAAACCCAGCACAATCTTCTGAAGATGTGCAGCTGCTGACACCCAGCACAATCTTCTGCGCATCACCACAAAGAAGTCCAGATGAAAAAAAAACAAATTCCAAAGAGAGAACGGGCGCCCCTAGGGTAGCGCTAACGCGCTCCTCCTCGCGGATGTCACCTGCGGTACCTTTGTGTTACTCTCGGTACTTTCGAGGTAACCGCAGCTGCCGCTTAACCCTATAGCTGAAGCTATGGAGGTTAGGGTTAGGACACTGCTTTCTCAATGATTAGCAAACAGCCTAAGGCTGGGTGTAGCCTAACCATAAGCGGCCCGTCGGTGGCCGGTGCTCTCTGAAGGCTGACGTCTCAATGCTTAACGCCTCGAGACATGAAGACAGATAGGAACAAGAGACTGCCAGTGGAACGGGAGAGTCATTCCTCCTACTGCAAACGACGGTTTAATGCAAGCCAAGTGGAGGTAACCCCCACGCTTATTTTACCTCGGTTGCATGCTGATGGATAAGTGGCAATCCTGGTGGACTTATTCCTTATTTATAGCGGCATATATATTAAATATTCTTACGTAAAGTCAAGCTTGCCACGTTGAATCATTCTATTACCATTATGTCGGTTTCGGAGAGAGTTTATACGAGGGAGGAGAAGGAACAGATATGCTCAATACTTGAGGCTTGCTTCAGAGATGGGGTTTTACCTTCTGGTGTGGATATTGGTGTGGCTAAGTTAGGGGATGATTTTGCTCGCTTCGATCTGAATGAGAATTTTTCGGAATTGAATCTTACTTGGCTTCGCGAGCATGCGATCACCGTGGTGTTCCAAGAAAGAGCATCAATTCTGTCGAACGATACCAAAAAGAAACTCATAAGAATTTATGAGGATTCTTGGTACGACGCAGGGTTGATCTCTGATTTGTTTAAAAGGGGTCGCTACCAAAATGAAGGAAAAAATCTCGCCTCGTTTGTGTCCTCGCAATCGTCTGTGATCGAATGGCTGAAAAAAAAGAAGGAAGATGTCTTGGAGTTGGGGGGTAAGAGGTATAAACTTATCTTTGTCCCGTGGATGACGTTGCTGGAAATGAAGGAGTACAAAGAGGCTGAGTCCAAGGTTTGCTGGATTCGATGCCCCCGAGTACCCTTTCAGCTTCTAGCACCACTCCAGACAGCAGTAGAAAGAACTTTCGGTGAAGTGTTGAAAGTACATCCATTCGAGGAATATGAGGATGAACCGGAATTGGGCACAGTACACTTTGATCTGGAATTCAAGGCTAGAAAGGTAGTCAGACCGCGGCTCCTGGTGGGTATTCCACGCCAGGGTACTTGTCACTTCGAAGTTATTTCAGCTGCGACACCTTGGTGCACTGCCTGTCGAACCAATTATCACACAGAGAAGGATGAGTGTTGTCCAGCAGATGAAGATCCTGACCCTTTCACGACACAGATGCGCCGAAAAAAATTTCCACCGTCTCCGCCATTTTCCGGTTTTGTCCCCTTAGGGGAGGACCCCCCTGCCACTGGATT